AAAAAAAACGAATAGGCGCACAATTAAAGTCCTAAACCTTCCCCGGCAACGACGCCAATTTTGTTGTAAGTATTTTGACCGGGGTAGAATAGAAAGATCCGTTCCCCGGGTCGTATCGCAAGGAAGGTTAGCCGGATTCAATTGTACGATTATTCGATCACGAAAAAGAGAAAATCCTAAACACTCTATTTCAATGGTTTTGGTTTCAATTATAGCTAATGACTTTAAAATAAATGAAAAGCAATTTAAATAGCAAGTGAATTAACTCAAATGATTAAAGAGCTAGGGAATCGGGGATAATTGCTTTCGATTCTAACACAACCACCGGACAATCAATTGCTCGGTTAAAGGACTTGAATGGTCTCTCGTTCAGAGGTTCACTCTCAATACAGTTACGAACAAGAGAATGAATGTAAACGATCAACTATCAGTTCCAGCAACGCATAGACAATACAGCTACGAACAAGTATACTCTAAACGATCCTATATCGACCAACGTCTCCCCTCTCGGTTCTACATGTTGATTTATTAGGTTAGAAAGGTGATCAATCTACTAACCCTAGGACAAGCACAACTCGCATAGATATGAGCAATTAAGAACAAGCAATTATTATTGAACCTAATCAATCATCCCCTATCCCTAGCGTATGGATTTAGCTACTCATATGGAATTTAACATCAACATTCATAAAAACTCAAGCCATCATCATCAACACACAATTCAGAAAAGGAGAACTTACGATTAATGTAAATAGTTCAATGTCAAATCCACAAGCATCCAAATCCAAAGCAAGAACAGAGTTTCAATATCCAAAATCAAATCAAAAGAGCAAAAGTATGAAAAGGAATGAGTTTCTAGGGAGGAAAAGCGTAAAAACGAAGTCTGGGAGGTGAATTATTATCCCTGGGTCTAAATTCTGATGTAAAAATCCCGACCTTGAAATTCGCGCCGAGTAAGTCGCGAGTCGCGACATAAGTCGCGAGTCGCGACTTCCACTTTTCTCAGGTCACGAGTCGCGCGTCGGCAAAAATCTTCAAAATCTGGGGAAAGTCGCGACATGTCTCGCGAGTCGCGACTCCATCTCGCGAGTCGCGACCTTGACGCGCGAGTCGCGACTCGTGCTCGCGAACTTCATCTTTAGCCTCTGTTGAACTCGCGAGTCGTGACCTTCTCGCGAGTCGCGACCATCTCGTGAGTCGTGACCTTCTCGCGAGTCGCGACCATCTCGCGAGTCGCGACTCCACTCGCGAGTCGCGAGAAATTCTGGGCAGTCTTCAGTCCATTTTTCCGGTCATTCCTTCAGCTTTCGGAGCTCCACGACGGGTATTCTTGGCATCACAGTCTCGTCTCCAACAGTCTCGTCCTCGACCGGCACAACCTATCTCCTGAAAACACAAACACAGAAAAACACGAAGCAAAACACAGCAAAAAGACGCACAAAGCGAATCTAAAGAGAAAAACACAAAAACACAGAATTGGACCAAATAAACTACGAAAATCCTATAAATGGGGAAAATAAACCCACACTAAAGACACAAAAATGGGACAAACAGCGTTCGTTCAGATGAAGTATGTGGTAGCCTCGATTCTCGGGCGGTTCGAGTTGGCGCCAGTTTGTACCGAGAAGCCGGTTTTGTCCCTCTGTTGACGACATATATGTTAGGTGGGATTAAGGTGAGAGTTTGGTAGAGAGTGGGTGGGAGGTGAAGAAGGAGCCGTGATTTAGAAACACATATTTGTTTCCACATATATAATATAGAATTTGGATATATATATGATTATGGGTAGATCCAACACTAATTATGCTTCTGCTACTGCTTCCTTTAAATGTGACAAGGAATACTATAAGAAAATGTATGTTAAAACTATAATTTGTCGATTTCATGGATATAATTAATGGTGGATTTATGTTGTTTTATTTTTTTATTTTTTTTCGGCTCAGACTGGACACAATGACCGGTAAATGCTCTGAAGGATGGTCGCAAGGCACCTGAAAGGGCATCATGGTGGTCAGAATTTCCACATTGAGGAAGACGATGTGATCTGCCCAAAATATTTCCCGAGAATAAAACGCATATCTATTTTTAGGCGAGGAAATGACCGAACAATTTTAGGCAAGTAGTTATTTCCTAATGACGTGGCAAGACCAGATTGGATGGAAAATTTGGATTTGCGTGAGAAATCCTTCATGATTTGGATTGTTCCAATATGAGTTTCCTTATTTATGGGATGCGCATATTAATTGTTTATGACTCCATAATGGATTAATTTTTTTTTTTTTTTCTAAAATTATGACTCCATAATGTGCTTTGGATTTTTTTCTAAAATTATGACTCAATATGTTTTGGATTAGAAATCTTACAATCTTATACATATTATTTTGAAAAAAATTGGATTAGTACATAATATTTTTAGAAAATCCTTACTACACAAATGTGTGAAAATCGGTTAACTTTTTCAGAAAATCACATGACAATTGGTTGTCGAAATTTATCGAACTATTAAATTATTTTTTCAGTTAAGGAATTTCAGTAAATCACGATTATATTGAACTTTTGATTATAAAATTCACCGATAATACTGTTTATTTACTAATTTATTTTTTTATGCTTACTTATATTTAATATATTCATA